AGCGCTCCAGCGTCATGACAACCATGAAGAAGATGCTGCTGAAGAAGCCAATGTGGTGAGACCCGGAGATCAAACGGCACATGAAGTCTCCAAAAGTCCACTGACCGACCCTGGCGTTGTGAGAGTAGAAAGGCAGCGTGAAGACGAAGAGGAGGTCAGAGAGAGCCAGGTTGAAGAGGCAGATGTCTGTCAGGTTGCTCTGATTGCGGTACTTCACCAGGACACACACCACTAGCCCGTTACCTTTGGCAGAAAAGACATAATATATGTACCTGTCAGTAGAGCAGGGCGATATGACCAAAAATATTTATTACGATATACATGTTGGATTTGTATTGTTGATTATCATTTATGCTTAGAAATATCTACTTATGTAGGCTTAGAGTTTTATAATTAGTTGTAGATTGATAGAGGTTTGATCCTTATTAGTCTGCAGAGACGTAGTGTGCATTCCAGAGTGCTCTGGCATTAAGACCCACACTCTGGGAGGATGGGAGAGGTCGTACCTTGTCTTATTGTTTTATGGTAGGATAAATGTATCTATACCTGTTTTAGGCTAAGTGCCCTTTGTTTAGATAAACTGCTGGACTTCCAGACCAGCAGGTTTAGGGAAGTCTTCATGGGGTCATACTCTGACCCCACACACACACACACACACACACACACACACACACACACATGTTTGTATGTAGACGTCATATGTTAATGAACCTATATATATTTATGTAACCTCAATAAAAGCAGTGTTACGGGGGAGCGGACGAGAGCAACTGGGGTCAAGCGGAGGAACGGCGCTTGTCCGGTTCTCTCCCGTGCACGAGAAACATGAAGAACTTTGCCTACTCGTGTCTTGCTTTGCTGTGTAATTACATTGTCTTCCACGTTCCAGTGAATAGGTTTAAGCTACAAACCTATCAATACATTTGAAAATTTGCGATACCGATATAACTGACGATATAATTGACACTAGACAAAATACTTTACAACTCCACAACTTAATTAGCGCAAAAACCCCCATCAATTTATTTTCACTTAAACAAGCAGCTGTTTTTTATGTGCATTAAAGTTATATAAAAATTTAACAGTGCAAATGCAAATTCCTTGCTGA